TCGCCGTGGAAGGACCCGGACGGAGCGATGTTCAATGGGCGACACTACTTACAAGATGCCAATTTCAATTTTACGTGTCCCTGAGGAAGTTCATCGAAGAGCGACTGGCTCCAGTAAAGGTGGCAAAGGGCAAAAGTGGAGGTGATGCATGTTCGACGGGCGAGTGCAGTCAAGCAAGGGCAGTTCTTGGATCACTGAACGCTCACGCGAGAACTTCGTGCTGATGGTGCTGGGCGACGCAGTCTTCTCCAACAAGCACTGCAAGCTGACCTACGACGACGTCAAGGAGATCAACCCATTGGTGAAGCACATGAAAGACACCGCGGAGCTGGGCATTACGGTGTGGTCGATTCCATTCGAGGAGTTGATGTGGGTCTCGGTGTCGGATGCGAGCCTGCACAACAGCAGCGAAGGTGGGTCGCAAGGGGCATATGCGGTGCTGGCGACTACCCATCGAGTGGCTGCTGGAGGAAAGGACCTGCTAGTCTACTGGCGTGGAGGAGCTCACGAATGACGAGAGTGGTGGACTCTACACTGCATGCGGAGACTCTGGCGTTGAATGCTGGCGTTGCTGAGTTGGGATGGTCAGTTACTCTGTGCCACGAGTTTGCACTCTCTGGGTTTCGGTTGGACGAGTGGGAGAGGTGGTGTGAGCATAGGCGCCTGCTGGCCCTAGCTGTGAAGAATACGGAGGAGAAGAGCGCAGAGGTCCTACGTAAGGGACTGTGCATTGTGGACGCAAAGTCCTTATATGATTACCTACAGCGTGAGACGACAGGAGGACGAGACCGGAAGTGCTCTATCCAAATTCAAATCATTCGCCAAGCGATGAATGCGATGGGTTGTGAGATACGATGGGTGGATCATCTTGCTATGATAGTGGATGGATTGATTAAGCGACGGGCGAAGATGGATTTGATGGTGAACTTGATGCGGGAGGGCTCTTTGTGTATCGTGAATGAGGAGACCACCATGGCAGCTCATAAGCTGCGTAGTGAGTCTGGGCGTTGACCCAAGCGGTGATGCTTGGGTGTTTATTCAGAGGCTGAAGGGAACAGAGATTTTCGGGAGCTGTAATTCTACTGTGATCAGTGTATGCCCCCGCTTCCCTTCAGCCCATCCGTACCTGCCTTTCTGCCCTCCGAAGCCATCTTGTGCTCGGGCTGGCTTACCCCGTTTTCCCCCAGTCACTTCCCCCGCCGCTCCAGATAATATCCTGATCGTATCTCGCTCACTCCTTCCCGTACGTGCTGCTGCGAGTGTGCACTGTGGACGACACTGCTGACAGATAGTTGGATCCAGGCGGGGCGGCGTGGTGCAAAGCAAGTGTGCAGCTTTCCTGAGCTACACAAGGAGGATACACATTAGAGAAGAGCAGAAGGAGAGGAAGGAAGAGCAGGGAAACGAAGAAGACGTGCAGGGAATGAGGAAGGAAGAGGAGGAGGAGAAGGAGGGGAATGATAAGACGACGATTGGAAGGGGGAAGTGGAGGAATAGCGGGTTACGCGTGGTAGTGGTGGTGATGAAGGTGTTGTTGGTGGTGAGATTGGTGATGATGAGGAGGAGGAGGAGGAGGAGGAGGAGGAAGATGAGGAGAAGAAGGAGGAGGATGGCGATGACGAAGAAGACGAGAAGGAGGGACAGAGGAAGGAAATATGAAATACGAAAAAGAGGGAAGGAGGATAGAGGGAAGGAAGGAATTTGGAGGATGAGGAGGATGTGGACGAAGACGAGGACGAGGAGACGCAGGAGGGAAGAGGAACGGTGAGAGGAGCAGAAGCAGTATTGGGCGGACGCCCCCCAGATGTCCCCGGAGGTGTCCAGACGAACACCTGATAGCCAGACACGTGGGCGTTGGCCGAAACATCTGCTCGGCCTTTCGGGGGAGCGCGCCGATTCCGGCTTCCTCGCTCCGCCGCTGCTGCTCCCAGCAGGATGAGGAGGCGAGGGGCGGGAGGAGGGGTGGGGGTGGATCAAAGAGAAATGTGGGAGGTGGAGGGTGAGAGAGAGGAAGGGAGGATCCCTCCTCACTGAGGGTGAGGAGGGAGGGATGGAGGAGGAGGAGGAGGAGGAGGAGCAAGAGGTGGAGGTATCATAGTGTTCTCCTCCCTTTTCGCTTCTTCGAGTCCCTCCTTCATCCTCCCTCCCCTCTCCAGCGTCAAGTGTCTTCCCGCGTCCCCCATCCGCCTCAGTCATCCTCCATCATCTCCCGCCTGCCTCTCTCCTACCTCCCTCCCCTTCGTCTTCCTTCCTTCCTCCTTCACCCCGTCTCCTGCTTATCCGCCCCCCTCCTCCTCCTCATCCTCCTCCTCCTCCTCCTCCTCCTCCCGCATCCCTTTCTGGTGTACCTGCTCCCTCCCTCCTCGGTCCTCCTCGCCCCCAACCCCCCTCCCGCTCCACTTAGCAGGTGGTGGCACTTCGGGACCGCATCTGCCAGAAAATCCGTATCAGCAGCTTCGGGCGCGGCGTCAGCTTCGACAACCCCTGCTTCCCGCTCATCCTCCGCAACGTCGTCTGGCCGACACCGCCCCCCCGCAATGACCTGCAGGGGAGGTGGGATGATCCTCAGGACGTGTGTTAGCCCAATGTGAATTTACTCCGGCCGGCCTCACCAATAGCATGCAGCCTGTGCCGCCCCTCATCACACCGCCTGCGTCGGATTGAAGGGTTTCGGTGGAGAAGCACACGTTGGCGCTAACACACGGTTTGAGGGTTGTCGAGGGGAGGGGGGGGAGGCAAGGGTCAGGGTTTGGGGAACGCGTTTGGCCGAAGAGTTTTTTGGGGCTTCCAAGGCCCCCAGGGGAGCCCTGGGGACATCCACAGCGGAAGAGACGGCCGAGGATTCAGAAGGATCCAGCTCAAGGTGAGGGCGAGGATGCGGTTGAGGTTGCAGTGGTGATACATAGTGATGGTAATGGTGGTGTTGGTCAGGATCTTGGTGATGGTCATGGCGATGATGGCAATACAAGTGATGGTGGTTATGGTAATTGGGATGAGTGGTGATGACAGTGATGATGATAATGATGATCTTGAGGATGGTAATGATGATGATGATGATGATGATGATGATGATGATGATGATGATGATGGTGATGGTGATGGTGATGGTGATGGTGATGGTGATGGTGATGGTGATGGTGATGGTGGCGATGATGGTGATGATGGTGATGATGGTGATGGTGAGTATGGTCATGGTGATGATGGTGATGATGACTAGGATGGTGATGATGGTGATGATGATGTGGCATTGATGATGTATTGTTGATGTTGCTGATGGTGACGGTGCTGCTGATGATGATGACGATAGTGCTGACGATGACGATGGCGCCAACGATGATGGTGATGATGACGATGACGATGACGATGATGCTGCTTATCATGATGATGACAATGACGATGATGCCTCTGATGATGGTGATTATGGTGGTGGTGATGGTGATGGTGTTGGCGACGATGATGATTATGATGGTGGTGATGGTGCTGATGATTGTGATTATGATGATGACGACGACGATGATGATGAATATGATGATGATTGAGATGGTGATGGTGATAGTGACGATGATGACGACGACGACGACGACGATGATGATGATGATGATGATGGTGATGATGATGGTGATGATGATGATGATGATGATGGTGGTGGTGGTGGTGGCGGCATCGAGGAGGGGAAGGAGGAGCAGGAGGAGGAATATGTTCGCGTTTGCCTTTAAACGGAACTTCACGTGGCAGGGAGGATTTGCCAGGGACCACGATGTTCAAGCTCGCACGGGGCGCAAGTGAAAGAGGCGCATTGAACAGCGGGGTACGTCAAGTGCCACTCTCTTCGAATGGATAGGGAGGGCTCCCCCACATAGGGAGTGCCGATTAATAGGCAGGCATATGGTGTTGTGCCCAGACCTCCGACATCTCGATCTTCTCTGAGCGTGGACCCCCAGGATGTCTGGGCCCCTTCCCCAGGACCAGGATATGTTTGGTTGATTTCGGTCTCCGTTGCCTGGTAGGGGTCCCCTGAGACCGAACTCGGCCAACTATATCCCGTCGAAGTGTCCACGACGAGAGAAGGTCTATGAGTGAGCGAGGAAGTGGGGAGGCTGACGAGGAGAGACAAACAAACAAACAAAACAAAACAGGAGGAGGAGGCGGAGGAGGAGCCTGAGGCAAGAGCAGAACGAGGAAGCGGGGGGAGGAGCGCCGCACAGCGGGAAGACAGATCAGCCTTGTTCGATCGGCCAGCAGAGGTTTTGCTGCTGGTGCACACAACGTTGCGCAGCAGGTGTGCCATGTCTGGCCAGAGCCAGGCGTGGGTGACCCATCGGCCGCGTCCTCATCACGACCGGGGATCCTCATCCCCCATATTGGGGGGCTTAGTACCCTCCGAGGTTACTCTTGGCCCCGCCAGCCAGTCTTCATCCCACCTTCTCTCCTCCCTGCTCGTTGTCTTCCTGTCCCGTCGTCGTGCTCCTCCATCTCCCTCCTCGTCCTCGCTATTGTTGTCCCCCCACCCCGCGTCGCCGTCCTCCTCTTCGGGCCACCGCCTCCTCTTTCCCCTACCCCCCCGCCCCCTCGCCCCTCCCCTTGCCACCCCTCCCCTGTCCCCTCCCCGCTCCTCCCTGATCCCTCCTTCCCGCCATCGTCGGCGTCGTCCTCGCTCCTCGTCATCCGCCTCCTCCTCCTCATCCTCCGCCTCCTCCTCCTCTGCGTCAGCGCCCTCGCTCGTCCTCGTCCTTGTCGCCATCGTCCTTCTCGCTCTCTTCGCTGTCAGTCCCGTTCACCGGCGAGTCTTCCCCACATCGCCACGCGGGGGAAAAACGCTGCCTTGGGCGAGGCGGGTCTTGCATTCAAAGGGGGGGGAGGGAGGGGGGGAGAAGTTGGGGGGGAAAGGGAGCGGGCTTTTCCTCCCTCACTCTTGCTCAATATCTCTCTGCCTCCTCCCCCTCGGCCTCCTCATCCCTCAAGCCTCCGCCCTCCTTCACGAGAGAAGGGGTCGGGCCCTGATGGAGACGAGACAGGTCAAGTCAGGACAACCAAGCTGGACGAAAAACCCGTTGATGCAGCTCTCTCTCTCTCTCTCTCTCTCTCTCGTGGGATCGGTATATCGGGCTCTCGCCTCGTGCCCTGGCTCTCTTAGGGAAAGAAACAACGACGTAAACATAAAAGCATCGAGATCCTCGCGGATTTCTCGGATCGGCGCTGGGGGGCCTTGGCGGCGCCTCTGGCGCCGCCCTCGTCGGGCTCCGCGCGACAGGGAGGGGGGCCCGGCACCAGTTCGAAAAATCTGCGCGGACCTCAGAGTTCTCACGTTCATGTCATTGCTTGTTCACCTGGGCCTGCCTTCGTGTCCCCGCGCCGCCTCCTCCTCCTCCCGCCCCATAGACCACACTCCCCGCCGCGTTGCCGCCCTCCTTGCCATGGCGAGTCCTCCTCCCTGCCTCCCTGCTCGCCCCTCCCCGCTGCCAGCCGCCCTCGGCCCTCCCCGCCGCCGCCCCCCGCCCGCGCAGCCCCTGGTGCTCCGTGGCGTCGCCCGTGGACGCGGCTCCGCCCGCCAGCGCCGACCAGCCGCGGCACCCCCGTCACGGGCAGAGGGGCGTCCCGCCGCACTTGTCGGCGGGGTCCGTGGCCCCGCGGGGGCCTCGTCGTCGTCCTGGCCCTGCTGCCCCCCATCCCCCCCTCACCCATGGGCTCCCTCCCGTCGTTGCCTCCCCCGCCATGAGGACAGGGACGCGTCGAAAGCGGGCGTATTCTTCCCTCGCCGGCCCCTCTCGCGCCGGGGAGAGAATCAGATTGTCGACTTTGTACCCTGGCCGCCGCCGCTGTCTGCCGTCCCCCCCTTCTCTCCAGTAGTTGCATGTGCGCTGCCTGTCGAGGGAAGGATGATCCGAAAAGTGCTCACGTCCAGCGGTGCCCAGGCAAAGGCAGACCGCGGAGGGCCGAAATGCTGAACCGAGGTGGGGGCAAAGCGGACTGCCCAGATGGACGCCTAAGGCGACCCTTTGGGCTGCCAGAGCAGCTTGGGCGCTTGGCCTGGCGGCGGGCTGGCAGCGGAGCGCCTGGGCGAGGAGAAGATGTTGCTGTTCGCCGCCGTCGTCGCGGTCTCGCCGAAGTTCCGTGGGTGTGGGTATGGGTGGCGTGTCTCGGCCTGGCTTCGCATTCACGGGAGATGGGCGGCATTGGCTGGGCAGGCCGCGGCCTCGAGGGTTTCTGCGGGCTCTGCAGGCCCAGGTGCACCGTGCATTGCCCCGCGTACACTGTCGGGAGAGGTTCCCCGTCGGCGTCTGCCGCTTGGGCTCAAAGAAGAGGGGTGGCCCCAAGCTCCGCAGCTCTAACAGTGGCATTGCCCGCTCTCGAGTTCGCCGTTTTCCTCGCGTTCGCTCGCCGCCGGGGTAGTTCGCCGAAGGTGGTGAAGATGCAGCAGGTGCCAGTTGCTGCTGGGTCTTCTCACCCTTGATCATTGCGTCCCTTCGGCCAACCAGCTTGAATGGTCCCGACGAAGTAAAAAAGTGACGGGTTGGACCACGGTTGGGGCCCCTTCTTAGCACTTTGTGTACGTGGGAGACGGATACAGTGGCTTGATACGAGTGGAGCGGACGATGGCGAGTAGGGGGACGAGAAGGAGGGTGGATCAGTAGCAGGGATGGGAGGAGAAGGAGGACTGCCCCATCCCGCTCCAGTTCCCCAGCCCCCCTTTCTCGGGGTTTGCCAACTGCTGCGAGAGAATTCGACTTTCGTTACGGCTTGGCTGAGGTTGCCTTCGGACATGTCGGAAACCGTTTCATGTCTAATGGCAGATGGGGTCAATATGGGCGACGAAAAAATCGGCGTCGTCTGCGCCGACATTGGCGCAAAAGCTGCCCGCGCAAGGTCGCGCGTAGTCGCCATGCCATCTCGCGTAAGACCCGTTTTGGATCGCCGCTCGCTCATATGGAGCCCATAGTGAGAGTTCCAGCCAGGGTTTCGCCTTCGAGGAATTACTGGATCGGGCTGGCGTATTTTCCCCGGCGGCAGGCGGTGGAACGCCGGCGGCGGTAGTAGTACAACGCGTCGGGAGCTTTGAGACGGGGGTCGATGCAGACGGGAGTCAGCCAGAGCGCCGGATCCTGCAGGATCCTGCGAAGACCCCCTTTGGCTGACCCGGGTTAGCGAGCCGCGAGGCGGCCGCGCCTATTGGCTGACCCGGGTTCGCGAAGACCTGCGTTGCAGTTTTTGTTTTTCCTGTTCTGCAGTTTTTAGTGTCCTGTTGACCCGGGTTTGGATTGACCCGGGTCAGAAGATCGCCGAACGCGGCCAGCCCCGCAAGTACAGCTGAGCCCCACATGGGATGCGCACTTGTTGGATTCACGGTTCGGTGCGAACCATATATGGCGCAAAAAAAGCCTTTGTGTTTTCCACCAATGACGGTCCTAAAATATCGGAGGCCTCCTTGCGAAGCCCGTGGGCGGACCATGCTTTAGCCGTCTTGGAGGCGTTACCCCTTCCGCGAGGCATCTCCAGGTCAACCGAGGGGGCTTGGAAGTTTCGGGAAGAGGAGCAGGAGGAGGAAGAGAAAATGGAGGGGTGCGCCAACGTACTAGGGGGAGGGACAGGCTCAGGTGTGTGTATGTGCGTTTGTGTGCGTGCGTGTGTATGTGTGTGTGTGCGTGTGTGTGTGTGTGTGCGTGTGTGTTTGTGTGTGTGTCCATGTGTGTTGTGCGTGCGTGTGCGTGTGCGTGTGTGTGTGTGTGCGTGTGTGTGTGTGTTGTGCGTCTGCGTGCGTGTGCGTGCGTGTGCGTGTGTGTGTATATGCGTGTGTGTGATTGTGTGTGATTGTGTGTGTTTTGTGTTTTTGCTTGTGTGTTGTGTGTGGTGTGTGTGCTGAATGTGATGTGTGTGATGTGTGTGTGGTGTGTGTGGTGTGTGTGGTGTGTGGTGTGTGGTGCGTGTTATGTGTTATGTGTTGTGCGTGCGTGCGTGCGTGCGCGCGTGCGCGCGTGTGTGTGTGTGTGTGTGTGGGTGTGTAGTTGTGTGTGGCTGTGTGTGGCTGTGTGTGGCTGTGTGTGGCTGTGTGTGGCTGTGTGTGGTTGTGTGTGGCTGTGTGTGGCTGTGCGTGTGTTGGGGTGTGTGGGGATGTTTGCGTGTGTGCGTGTGTGTGTGTGCGTGTGTGTGCGTGTGTATGCGTGTGTATGCGTGTGCATGTGTGCGTGCATGCGTGTGTGCGTGTGTGCGTGTGTGTGTGTGTGTGTGTGTGTGTCTGTGTGTGCCCGTGCGTGCGTGCGTGTGTGTGTGTTGTGTGTTGTGTGTGTGTGTGTGTTTGTGTGTGGTGTGTGCGTGCGTGCGTGCGTGCGTGCGTGCGTGTGTGTGTGTGTGTGTGGGGTGTGTGTGTGTGTGCTGTGTGTGTGCGTGCGTCTTGTGTGGTGTGTGTTGTGTGTGTGAGAGTGTGTGCGTGTGTGTGTGTGTGTGCGTGTGTATGCGTGTGTTGTGTGTGTGCGTGTTTGTGTGTGTGTTGCGTGATGCATGTGTTGTGTGTTGTGTGTATGTTGTGTGTGTGTTGTGTGCTGTGTGTTGTGTGTTGTGTGTGTTGTGTGTGTTGTGTGTGTTGTGCGTGTGCGTGTGCGTGTGCGTGTGCGTGTGTGTGTGTTGTGCGTGTGCGTGTGCCTGTGCGTGTGCCTGTGCGTGTGCGTGTGCGTGTGGGCGTGCGAGTGTTTGTGTGTGGGTGTGTGGTGTGTATATGTGTTGTGTGCGTGTGTGCGTGTGCGTGTGTGTGTGTGTGTGTTTGCGTGTGTGGGGGGGGTGCGTGCGTGCGTGGTTGCGTGCGTGTGTGAGTGTGTGCGTGTGTGCGTGCGTGCGTGTGTGTATGTGTGTGTGTGCCCAAGATTGCCCGGGTGTTTGGATGAGGGCAACATGCAGGAGGAGGAGGAGGAGGAGGAGTGATACAAAACGCAGGAGAAACACGTAGAGGAGGAGGAGGAGGACACGACGACGACGAGGACTGAGAGGAGAAGGGGGAGGAGGAAGAGGAGGTGGAGGCGGAAAAAAGAAGAAGAGGGGGAGGATATGGGGAGGAGGAGGAGTAGGAGGAGGAAGAGGAAGAGGATGAGGAGGTCGGGAGAGCAAGAGGGCATGAGCTTCGGTGGATCAACCGCGTTGGTACTGCCAGATACCCGAACACACACACACACACACACACACATGTTCCAACCATGGGCGTTTCGGCGACCTTCTGGCCTCGACGCGCGCGCGCGTGCCCGAACACCGGTCCATGTCTGAGCTGGTTTCGTGCATCGCCTGAACTTGTTTTCAGTCGGGCAGTGTACGTGTGTGTGTGTGTGACTGGCTGGCTGGCTGCCAGCCTGATCAGGTCGACCAATGTGGTCTTGCCCGTTAGAATACAGTTTTGCGTTCTGCCTGGTCAGATTGAGCGCAGCCTGTGGCACAACAGCAGGCAGGCCGTTTGCGTTTTGACCGCCGGTGGCGCAAGTTGTGGCGCAGCCAGTGGGCGCAACCCAAGGCGCAGCCGCTGGCGCCTTCCATGTGCAACAAATGCGGTTCAGTCAATACTGCAATTCGTGATTCAGCCCATGGCGCACATATCGCGGGACACATGTCGCAATGAATGGCACAGCGTATGTCGGCGGCGAGCCCAGGGGAGAAGGCAGAGGGTACGGGCCTTCTCAGAAGGCTCAGAAGGTCTCCAGTCTGTTGAGAAGTTTGCTAATTCTTCCCCGACGACACAGGTAGCTTCTCAGAAAACCGGAGGGCTTTCCAGAAGCCCCGCCGCCTTTTGAGAAGTGTTGTCCCCTCTCATTTCCACCCTCGGCGGGCCGCCGAGTACGGCACAGCCTGGGGGGCAACTTGTTGCGCAACGTGTGGCGCAAACACCAGTCCCATGTATGTTGCACCCAGTGCGCAATCTATGTTGCACCCGAAAGCACAGCCGATAGCGCAACCTTTGGTGCACCTATGGCGCAACCTCTTGCGCACCCCACAACAGCAAATCCGATGCCGAGATCGAAGCCGAACGGGAGAAGGCGGACGGGCCAAGGAGTTGGTTCTCTTTCTCTCTCTCTCTCTCTCTCTCTCTTTGCTTCCGCGGGGCTACGGTCGATCTGCATCCCCGTCATTTGGGGCTCGTGGATGGCCGACACAGCGAGATGTCTTGTGATAGTGTAGTCGAGCGTCTGATGAAGAAGCCTCCTCCCGAAATGTTGGGCCAGCGTTTCTGAGCCAACTTGCCGGAAAGCTGACCACGCTCGCCCCTCCAGCGTAAACAGACACCATAAAGTTGCACAGGTTTGTTTTCAGAAATTTTCGGGATGTTGGCCCAGATGTCTCAAAGCATAGTGTTTTTGATTAGATGTTCGGTTGTAGTAGCGTATTTTTCAGATCGGACTTTTGCCTCCCGGGGGCAGCTTTCTTGGGAGGTTCCTGCCCTCTTGCAGCCGCTCCAGGGCCCACTGGGGCCATCGCGGAGGTATGTTTTAAACCACTCTCGAGCCATCTTGAAGACCGTCTAGAGCTGTTGGTACTGTTCTGCAGCCTGGTGATCCATTAAAGGGGTTCTACGAGGGGCTCCAGAAGGGCCGATGACGAGCTCGCCCCGGGAATTGTCACCGCCCGAGGCGAACAGAGGAAACTAAGGGGAACATGGACATGTCGCACGCCTCCCCCGTTCCTGGCACCGCCTCCCCACGCCCCCAGCGAGGTCTTGCCCCGCACATCCGTGGAATCGCGGGTGTCCTTGAGATTGTTGTATATATTATGCTGCGTAACGGTCGTTGCCCGTGCCAGCCCCTTCCAACCCCCCCCCCTGGAAAGGGTGACGATCGTACGTGGAGGGGGGGTTGGACCCCCCCCACCTGCTCGTGCTCGCGCGCATATTATGGAGATTCCAGCGCATCCCCGCCCACACGTGGCCCACCACGTCCAAGCATTACCATTGCCCGGGGCCCCAACCCCCCAAGTAACGAGTGAGGGGGCCGAAAGGTCATTCGTTGTCCTTGGGTGCGTGGCTGAAGCGGGGTTCCGCGGTGCGGATTGTTGCTGCGTTGTTGTTTGTTGTCGTCGTCCCCCTCGCGACCCGGCCCGCGACCCCCCCGCGACCCTTCTGCGCACCCGCGACCCACCTGCGATCCACCCGCGACCCAGCCGCGACCCACCTGCGACCCGCCACCTCACTATTATCCGCAATTCCGGGGTGCTACGTAAAAATCAATTGGGGTCGCGCATCGGTGTCCAGACCACGAAGGCATGGATGTGGATATGTTCGTCGCTCGCGATTTCCCCTGAGCTCCCCTTACATTTTTTCTCGGCGAGGACCATCGAGGAGTATGTTGGACCATCGTGGGAAAAATACACGCACGAAACCGAGAAATGCATGGGGAAACGCACACGCACGAAACCGAGAAATGCACGGGGAATGGCCGTCTCAGCGATGGCGAGTGCGGAGGTGACCTCGCACCACGCCAAGGGCCCCGGGTTGTGGGTCTGCCCGAGCTGCGACCACCTCTACGACAAGGAGGCCTCTTGCTCCGCGCCAGCGCGCTAGGGACGCCTTGCTGCGGGGGCACGCTAGGTGCCCCCTGACGGTGTGGTGATCACACTGCGATGCTCGGCGGCGACGATCGGGGCGAACAGCCCAGAGGCGGGCATTACACGCAATCGTCGGGGAGAATCGCCGAAGACATGGGCCGTCGGCGCCCTTGCATACTTGTGCTGCTCCCCCCTGGGTTGTCCGCCCCCATCGTCGCCGCCAGGTGCGTCGGTGGGGGTTCGGGTTCACCGCACGGCTTTGGGACTCGGGTCGTTCTCCGAGGACGTCTCGGGAGACGGGGGCCTCCAGTGTCCCGGAAACGTGCGGTGACGGACCGCACGGTGAGGTCTCCTGGGGTTTCGAGACCACCGCATTGTCTGCCACCACGCGGTTTGGGGACCCCCGAGCATCGCCCGCATTGTGGGCAGCGACGATGTGGTGAGTGATGCCAATTGTGGCAGCTTTGGCGACGACGGAGCGGTCCAGAAAGGGCCTCGCATTCCGCACGACTCGCCCTCGGCGGAAACGAGCGGTAGCAGGCGGAAGGCGGGCCCGGAGTAAGACGGCGGCGGGTCAGCCAGCGGAAGCCGTGGGTTTATGTGTGCAAAGTTGTGGCGCGAGTTTTGCCGGAACGCCGCGGTGGAGATGATGGCAGCAGGCGCGATCAGGGGCTTTGTTTCCTTGGGCGCCATGTCGGGAGACGGGGCATCGGGTGCCTCAGGTTGCCCCAGCGCGCCTGGTCCTCCCCAGAGGAGGCGGCATCAGGAGGCGCGATCGCGAAGGCCACTTCGCTGGGCGTCGGGGTCCCCCGGGGCCCACTTGGCGAGGGCGTCCCATGCGAAGCCGCCCGATGTCAGAGGAGGAAGCCGCTACCCGTGCCTCGTTTGTGCCTTTTGGCGTTTCATGGATCTCCTCCCATACGGGGTTCGACTAGATGGGGTCGGAGAATCGCGCCGCATCGCCGATGCATCGACGATGCGGCTCGATGTGGAGCCCGATTTTTTCACGCCAACGGCGCCGCCGATGGCGCCGCCGATGCATCCCCGACGTCGCCGAAATATCGGCGATGCATTGGCGATGCAACGCGATCCTCCGACCCCATCTACTCTGACGCCTTCTGGCGGCCTCTAGGGGAGGCCCGCGTCGCTACGGCTAGATACTGCTGGACAAAACGCAGACGGGGAGAGGTGCCCAGCCGGGGAGAGGTGCCCAGGAAGGGCACGAGGGCGGTAGGAGGAAGACAGGAGGAGGGCGAGAGGAGGAGAGGAGAAGAAGGAGTGCAGGAGTCAGGGAGGAGGAGGAGGAGGAGGAGGAGGAGGAGGAGGAGGGGGCAGGAGTGTTCTTTTATGGCGTTCCGGCTGGGTGTGAAGTACTGTAAAATTCGCTTGTTGTTCAGAAGTAGTGCGCGGTGCAACCATGGAGTTCAAGTTCGATTTGCTTCCAGGGAAAAAAACTCCTATCAAAGTTGCGTGGTAGCGAATCCCGTGGTTCGCCCCACGGATTCCAGCGCGCGCAGCGAATTCCGCGAAGCAGTCGCGTCCTTGTGACGGCCGCAACGGCAGCGGCAAACGTCCCGCCGAATCCTGGCACAGCTGGTCTAGGTTCCGATGTGACGTTGCCCGAGGTCCGAGACAGCTGGCACAACCTGAACACGAACCGATCCGCGGAAATGTGCAATGCCGATTTTGAGAACACAGTTTTCAGGTATGTTACGACCGCCCTCAAGGCAAACCAAGATACGATGAGGTTATCTTTCGAGCGCAACGCCACACTTGGTACCAGCACAGTTGTCGATGGTGTGGCGTTCATGCTGCTGCAGAGGAATTACAATATGGATGGTTTTCTGATCCTGGTCATCCACCACAATTCGCACCGCGAGGAGCAGCTCAACAACTCGAAAGCACATGTCCGGACAGTATCTCAATGTCAATCGGACGCTCTGGGGAACGCTACCAAGACCGCCGAAGCCATTCAGTTCGCTAGAGACACGAGGGCCAGGGGAGGTGGAAGCTGGCCCGTTAGCGAGCATGAGGCCGTTCAACAGTTGAAGATGTTTTCGGGTGGCCTGACCACGCCCAGGGCGTGGAACGATAAGTTGCTGAACGCGCTCGCCCAACTGAAGCAAGGTTATCGGAAAGCCCTGAAAAATGTGAATAACCAGTTCGGAACCACAGATGAGGTGTTACCTGATGATTTGATATATATATATATATATAAATAAATAAATAAAAAAATGGGCGGCAGATTAAACCTGAGTGAATACGCCAACGCGCCACTGACCAAAAAGCAAGAAAACGACGCCTGGAGAAAATACAGAATCGATAGGAATGATTCCGCAAAGTTGGACGAGGACCTCTGGCACGCATTGGACGATAAGTTTGAAGGGACAGAACCCCGTGAACAACTGAAGGATTTGATCGAAGGGAACGGCCCAAAATATAGCCGCTACACGAGTCACATTCGCACACAAGATGAACGCGACCATGAACCCAGGGGGAAGAAGACAAATACCTCAAACAAACTGGCAACAAAGAAAACACGTTTTTTTTTTTTTTTTTTTTTTTTTTTTAAAAAAAAAAAAAAAAAAAAAAAAAAAAAAAAATGCGTGGCGACCCAGCTTGAACAACGGAGTGCGCTGGTCGAGTCCCTGAACAAGTATGGGATCGCATATTCACTACCATTGCCATCCAGGGTTACTGTTCCGGGAATCATCATAGCCCATGCGGGTGATTAGTTTGACGATTGGCAGCAGGATCGTTTCAAAACGCCAGAATGGTTAAATATTGGCACCGACCATGAATTTCTATTCAAGCGCGGAGACTGGACAAGAAAGAAAAGACTGGACGCCGATACGAACAAAAAATATTACATGAAAATCGGTGCAGTTAGTGACGAAGGCACTGGTGAACGGGGCACAGGCGTGAACGGTTCTGATTATCACGGCGCAGACGGGGGCTGGTGGGCGTAGATTTTGGAGGACATGTGCGGACACGGCAATACGAATAACGCGGGCAAAACAAAAGGTCAATATAAAGGGCCTATGTGTTACAAGCGTGGAGGATACGGGCGCATCGCCAAGGATTGCGCCACGAAAGGAACCACGAAAGGAGAAAGAGGTGGAAATGGGAAATACAAAGGCGCCACGGGTTACCAGGGGGCGCGGGCAGGGGGACACAAGAAGGAATATCGAGGAAACAAGTGTTATTCGGGGGGCGCGCCCAGGGAGGCCACAAAGAAGATCCCCCGGGAGTTTACCAAGGGAGCCAAGCCCCATGGAAAGGAGGAGGCGAGGAAGGATTTGAGCCGATCAGTGAGAGGGAGCGTCACACAATAGCGAAAGGGGTCACATTGCAGCCAGCTGCCCCCAGAAACCCGAGAAGGCTGCCCCGGGCCAATTGGGGGCAGGAGGCACAGGAGAGCTCACGCAGACGCCAGGGCAACCCCTCACCTGGAACGCGACGCGCGGGGGGGCGAGAGGCGGAGGGGACAAACAGAATGCAGACAGGACATGACAGGGCGGAAGAGCAAGGGCAACGCAGGGCGCACAGGGACACGGCGAGAGGGAAGAAACGAGGGGCTCGAGGGGGGCCATAAGAAATCTTCGCCAAGGCCATTTATCGAGGCGCCTGTTACCTCCGCGCTGAACTCAAAAACCAGGGCCTGAGTTGTGTTGCTTAAATAACGTTGCGTGACAGATTGGTTCAACTCTCGCTGTGGGAGTCGGCGAAGCGTCCTCTGGAGGCCTTATGTTGCAGTGGCGTGCTGGCATATCTCCTCTCTTATGGCGCACTCGCATGTGTTCGTGTTCGCGTTCGTGTTCTCTCGTCGCATGGTTATGGTCGCACACTCACACGCGTGCACTGTGTCCTTGTAAGCACCACACGTGCGTCATGTGCCTCTCCCCGCCCCCCCGTCGTAGACTCCCCCAGCACCAGTTCCCGGTGGTGGCGCTTGTCCGCGGGGCGACTGTCATCGCATCAGCTCGGTTAACCACGGGCGGATTCCGAAGCCGAATATCTCTTTCCTGGTCGATTGCTTGCACTATTACTCACTCTTCCGGCTGATTATCCAGCCATTGGGCAAGACGTGCAAGGGACAGAGTTCACAAGTTCGCCAGATCTTGTTGTTCTTAGTTGGAATGCGAATGGGATGGCGAAGGGTCGATTAATGACGTCGCTGACTTTCTGGGCGGCGGGCCACAGCGGGACATGCCATTGTACCAAGAAGGGCCGTTCGCAGAGGAGACCGCCGAGAAGGTTTTGGAGCCCGGCCATCTGCGGCGCTGCTCTCAGGCGCGGACCTCGACCAAACGCAGCGCCGGCGTCTCGATGCACAAGAGATGGGTGATGCAGGGAGCCGATGCGCAACATCTTACGGTGAGCTCTTTTTTTTATCATAGTTTGACGTTTCGTTAGTTGCACATGCAGACTCGCCGCGGCACATCTATGCCACGGCGGATTCCCGGACAGCACCTTCGACGCCCAGCTGATGGAGGTGGAGGCAGTATTGAATGGGGCTCGGCATGATAAGCGCACGCTTGTCTTGGGGATCGATGCGAACGCCGTGCTGGGCCAGAAGCTGCCCGCCGACGACGACAGCATCATTGGGGGCCATGGGCACCGCCAGCGCAACCATCGAGGCCACATGTTGGCACACTGGTTGCACGGAGCACGACTGACAGCAACGAGTTTGATGTTCGAGAATTAGCGGAAGGATGTGGACGCAAGAGATGCACAGCACTGGTGAGCAGAGACAGATCGATTACATTATCGCAGAGACGAAGAATTCCGATCTCGTCTCGCACGCATGCTTCGGTGTTCCGGAATTTGACGGTAAATCTGACCACCGGGCCACCCTTGCCAAGTTGCGGACAATTGCACATTCTCGTCCTCGACACCGCCAGGCCAGGATCATGCGAGGGTGGAAGCCAGCCTTCGACGAAAAGGAACAACCTTCCTTGTACCACGGCTTGCTGACGGATGGGCTCG